GTTGGAGAGGAAGAAGTTTATCTGGCTTGAATTTTCATATGGCTGTTCATCACCAAAGGAAGTCAGGTCAGGAACTCAAACACAGCAGGATCTCGGAGGCAGGAGCTGATGCAGAGGCCATGGAGGGGAGCTGCTTACTGGCTTGCTCACATGGCTTGGTCAGTCTGATTTATAGAACGCAGGACTACAGTCCCAGGGATGGCACCACCCACAATGGCCTTGACCCTCCCCCATTAATCACTAATTTTAAAAATGCCTCACAGCCAGATATTATGGAGGCATTTTCTCAAACAAGAGTTCCTCCTCTCAGATTACTATAGTTTGTCAAATTGACATAAACCTAGCCAGCACAACTGGCCGCTTGTCAACTACCAAATTTGGCTGCCAGCACAAGGAACAACCTTGGCCCCCTCTGGAACACAGCTTCTGTGTGCTGACTCTGGGGAAACACTTCCCAGAAGATTTCACCTCAGTGATGCTGGTCTCTTCTTAACCACTACTAGTTTCTTAGCTCCAACTAACCAGCATCAATTGTCCCAGTGAAGTAAAAGTTTCACTTCAATGGTGCTAGGCTCTTGTTGATCATGGCTGACTTTACCATCCCAGCTGACCAGAATGGCAGAATCTTAACTCAAAATAGCAAAAGAATCAATCAACTTTCTCCTGAAACTTCACAAGCCAGGCCTCCATCTCCTGCTCTACTCTCAACATTCCTATCTCCCAGGCTCCACTTAGCTCTCAACACTCAAAGTCTTTTTCTGGCCCAAAGTTCTAAAATCCTTCCACAATCCTTCCAAAAACTTGGTCAGGTCTACCACAGCTGTTACCAACTTCTAGGTTACTTAAAACCCCCTAATGTAAAGTAAGTAAGTAATTAGTAATTACTAAGTAGATTTAGGGACTAATAGCAAGATGTTTATGTATGTTCAGTACCAACATAGTTCATTTTTGAATATTTTCAATGTTTGGTTGGCAAAGACCCTACATTACCTAATTGTACTTAACTTTATTTTTTTCTGTGTGACATTTATAGAATGGTACAAAAAATGCTTAAGATGGTTTTCATGACTATTTTCTCTACAGTTAAACCAAGTGGTGCCCAAAGGCCACCAATATTATAATTGACTGACGTAGTTATCCAAAGAGCACATGGTTGAGCTTTATTCGGACCTGTAGAACCAGATGTCCCAGAACTAGCAATTTTAGCATATAAAATGAAGCTGTGAATCACTCCTTACGAAACTGTTAAAGCTATTCTTAAAATCAAAAGTTGTATGATCTTTTCATTTTGTTCCTTCGCCCTAGGAAATTACTGCTGAATTCTAACAGCCAGTCAGCCTTCTGGGAAAATAGCTCTTTCTGTGATCGTGGGCTGCTGACACTTTCCCGTAGATATTTCTTTCACAGTATTTGCCTTTTTGTATTCAGTAGTCCCCACGGTTCCTAAACTCCCAAACGTTTTCACTGCAGACACCCTCTTAACAACTAGTCATCGCCCACTGCCACCATTAATGATTTTGAATTCCTTTAGACTCTAAATGGATAGAGGCAGGCAGTGTGCAGCCATCTACAGCAACACAGATCATGTTTTTTTTTTTTTTTTTTTTTTTTTTTTTTTTTGCTCTTTTAAGACAAATAATCAGAGATGAGAGACAATGAGACGTGGAAGAGGAGTTGGTTTTTCACTGACTGGGAAACCATACACAAAGGAGTCTTGAGACAATGGCTGCCTAACTAGCAAATGCAAATCATGTTTGGTCGTGGAGTTCCAGGTTATTTGGCAACAGCCATAGAATCCCACCTTTTTTATTTTTATTAGAAACAAGATTGTTTTACATGTCAATCCCTGTTCCCACTCCCTCTCCTCCTCCTCTACCACCCCCACCTAACTAATACCCTATCTATCACATATCCTTTCTGCTCCCCAGGGGAGGCCTTCCATAGGGGGTCACCAGAGTCTATCATATCCTTTGGGATAGGGCCTAGGCCCACCCCCGTGTGTCTTGGCTCAGGGAGTATCCCTCTATGTGGAATGGGCTCTCAAAGTACACATCTATGCTAGAGATAAGTACTGAACTACTACAGGAGGTCCCTTAGATTTCCAAGGTCTCCTTACTGAAACCCATGTTCCTGGGGTCTGGATCAGTCCCATGCTGGTTTCCCAGCTATTAGTCTGGGGACCAAGAGCTCCCCGTTGTTCAGGTCAGTTGTTTCTGTGGGTTTCACCAGCCTGGTGTTGACCCCTTTGCTCTTCACTCATTCTTCTCTACAACTGGATTCCAGTTCAGTTCAGTGAGAATCCCACCTTTAATGATAGTTCATTTCAAGAACCTGCATTTTAATGCTCTTGTAACCACTGCCACTCAGGTGGACCTCTACATACAGAACCACTTTATGTCAGTCTTGGATCGGACTGGCCTTTTGAATTCAGCATTCTGTGTGAGTCAACTCCTCTGCTTTCCTCAGAAGGAGGAGGAGCCATGGGTGAGCAGAATCATTCTATACTTGGACTCCCGAAAGCTAAGACTCGAAATTACTGGACCCCAATGCTAGCTGTAGCAGCTTTTCAAGTAGGTTTTGGAAGGGGCATAATTACCAGATATTTCACACAGAGAACTGCTATTGTAAGCTAAAGATAATACCCTATGTAATCACAAATCACAGGAAAGTCCTTGTGAGATAACTGAGTTCCATTCCTATGGGTTCCCTAAGCTGGATGGAGAATTTTCCTGCTAATAAGTCAACACACTATGTATCACTTCAGGATCTCTCTGTTGTCTGTGTCTGTGTCTGTGTCTGTGTCTGTGTCTGTGTCTGTGTCTGCGTCTCTCTCTCTGCCTCTCTCTCTCTCTCTCTTCCTTCCCATTAGGGTCCATAAGAAACCCCATAAAAGACTACCAGACACTTATGCAATCACCAAGAGAGCAAAAATTCCAGCATGCAGGGACCAAACCATCTGACAAAGTAGCAAGATGGAAACCCAAGAGAAGCTCAAAGGCTCCTTTTAAGCAAGATTAAGTGAATTCCAGCTGTGGTTAAGTGTACTTTGAAGTAATTGGTTATAAACCCTTACTGGTACAGAAATAATTTTATGATTGGCTCATGACATCTGGTCAGCAACTGTGGTTGCAGTGTTCGGGTTCTGTCTGACTGAAGAAAACAAAATCAGTTCCTGCTTGTGGCCGGCTAGGACCCTGATTGGCTACCAGACTGGACATACTTCCTGAGGGTCTGACTGAAGCCAGGCATGAGTCAACATAGGATGATGGGGTAATATGGGGCAGAGGTCTTAGCAAACTGGCCCCTGGAAAACAAACAAACAAACAAAAAACACCTGGTCCTGTTAGGGTCAGTCCTGTTATAAGAGGGGATGGCTGCTTCATTTATCATTTATAGGGACTTATAAATAGCCACCCCAGAAAAAAGGAAAATATCTGGGCACTGCTTGGAAGGGTAGGCGGGCCAGCCCCAAGACTTCCACCTCTACCATGAGGATATGTGTGCAAAACATCAAGAAAGAGCTGGGGAGATGGTTCAGTAGATAAATCTCTTATCTTGCAAGCCTGTGCATCAGAGTTTATATCCCCAGAACCCACATAAAAGCTAGACAGTCATAACAACCCATGCCATCCCAGCAGGGAAGCAGAGACATGAGATTTCCAGGGCTAGCCAGCACTGGGGAGCTCTGGGTCCAGTGGAAGATCTTTTTAAATTAATAAAGCAGAAAGCTATCAAGAAAAACACTCAAGGTGGACTTCAGGCCTCTGCATACTTGTACACACACATTTACTCACACATGTGATTTACATACACATACATGCCACACATATACACATCAAAATATTTTTTATGAGAACTTGGCCTTTTTCATACACACTTGCAGAAATAAGGAGAGTGAAGGGAAATCTAGTAAAAGCCATTCCAAAGCTTTACTCAAAAAAAAGAAAAATGTAAATTATAGAAATACATTCTGAATGATATTCAGTCTATCTTTGGTGGGGGCGGCTCTATGGGAAATGAATGAATTCGGGGTATTGTTGCTATTGGGCATATGTGTGGTTCTTTTTTGTTTTCATGTATCATAGTTGAGATTTCTGTTGCTGTGATAGAACACCATGGCCTGAAGCAGACTGTACAGGATGGAGAGAAGCATAAGATCAAATCTACCACCAGGCTAAACAATCCAAAACTGAGTTTGGAGTGAAAACAAGGGCAATTCATTCATAACGTTTTGCAGATAGACAAATTAACAAACACTTGAGCAGGCCCATAACCCGGTTGGAAAGAGCTGGGTGAAACTTTAGGATTTTCTAAATCATTAAACTAAAGCACCTTATTCTTAGGGAACTCTACACCATCCCTGGAAATATGAAAGAATATCAGTTCCGAGTCCCCAGCTCCAGAGATTTAAGTTGCCTGGAAATAAAGTCCCAGGGTAGGAAGCTGCAGGTTTGTTTGTTGGTAGACAGGGAATCACTCTCTAGCCCTGGCTGGCCTCGAATTCAGTGATCCTCTAGCCTTAGTCTCCTGAGTATTGCGATTACAGATGTGAGCTGCAGTTTTAAAGACTCTTGGGTAATTAAAAACCATAGCTAAAGTAGGGAGCCTCGTGGTGTCCTTAGGGCCTTCTTGAAGCTTGAGGCTGCAAGTCCGTCCAGATGTGTAGGGTGCATCTTTTAACACTAGGGGAAGACTAGTTCACTCAACTCCAGTTTGGAATGATATGGACAGGCCCTGGAGCCTGCCGCCAGTGTTTTTGTTCATTGGCACACAGCTCTGGCGTTCACGCTCGTCTTTTCTTTTTGTAAGGAGTGAATAGGCCATGGAACCCACTGGTTACCGCTATATCCGCGGATATAGGCTAGAATATGCTTTCAGTAAACAACTTATGGGCAATTCACCTCATCCAACACAGAAAAGACGGCGGGTGACTTCCGGGTGGCCAGTGTCATTTTTAATTCGAGCATCGGATCACAGAAAAAGTCAAGTCTGTTTCTCACCAGTCGGCAGAGAAGAGTCGTCTAGACAGGCTCGGGTTGGCTGCCTGGAAATTGCAGGACCTATGAGCACCTCCTCAGGCCAGCCCCCATTCACCAGACACTTTCCCTAACAAGGTAGTGCCTGGGATCAGCCCTGGGTGACGTCAACCCCGTAGTCCCACCCGCCGGAGCGCGTCCTGTCTTTCACTCAGTTGTCGCACCGGTTCCCTGAAGTCCTGGCGCAGACTCCAAGCCCTCACTTCCTCTTGGCTTCACCCAGCCACCTCCTGGGGGCGGGGCGAAGGACGGGGTGGGGCAGAGGCGGGGCTGCGCCTGCGCGGAGAGGATTCGGGGGGGGGGACCCTGGGACGCCTAGAGCTGGTCCGAGTGATTGAAGGCAAGATGCAGGTGAGTGTGTTCTGATCGGAACCCCAAGGCTAAGGTCGTTTGGTTTGGTGGGTTCGCGCCCGAGCTGGAACCAGGTCTATACGAATTATCCACTTCGGCAGACTGCGGCGAGGCCGCGTAAGAAGCGTGCGCAGGCGCACTGCGAGAGGGCGGATGTAGTCTCGCCAGACTCAGGCTGGGTGCTCCTGCTTGCGTGTGCCCTGCCCAGCAAATCTGTGTCCTTTGGGGGGCCCCTGACACTGGGTCGTCCTCCTCCAGGTCTGATGAAGGCCTCAACTCTTCTGCCATCCAGAATTGACTTTACCCAACGCTGATGTTTCGTTGGGGTGCTTCCTGGTTTCCAGAGCTGAGCCCTAGGGCCAACTACTAGTGTTAATTTCTAAAATGAAGAAAACCAGAACTTGTGGGTTTTTGGTTTTTGGTTTTTGGTTTGAACTGGAATTTGCTGATAGCATTTGACAAAAGTCCAAAAAAAGTGCTAGAAACTCCAAAGGAATAGCCTCTAAGAGCAAAAATCTGTGACAGCCACATTTGCCACTGTCCAAGGACTCAGCCCTTCTATGTGGCTGTGCTTAAGAATTCTGAAGAGTCTGGATGGATGGTAGATGGGGCAAACTGTTGTGGGCTCCGGCATTGGGGACTGGAGGGAGTGGCCATATATACAAGCCGCCACAACCCCTGGAAAGTACAGAGAAAATTCAGGAACTGCTCTGGGCGCCTCTGCATTGTCGATTCTTCAGGTCCCCACTTAAAAACGTCACTCTTCACCTTCTCTGACCGCCTTGCTCTGTCTCAGCCGGATTGTGACACAGAAGTGAGACTGGAGCCTGGTTGTCCTACGGTCCTTCCTTGAGTTCATATAATGAACCAAGTTCTGATCCCTGGTATCAGTGTTCTGCCAACTCGTGCCACCCCAGAATAATTGGGCATCTGAGTTCCAGGTCTGAGACCACTTTGATCCTAGTCAGTTTGGCTAACTTACTCGTTGCGGTATCGACTCCCATCCAAGTACTGATCAGGCCCGATCCTGCTTAGCTTCTGACACCAGAGAAGTTAGGATAGGTTCAGGGTGGTATGACCAGAGATGGCAGTGTCTTTCTGAGCCTCACCTCACCTACACTTGGGAGGTCAGAGTTGGTTCAGCTAAAGGGTAGTGCCTAACATTTAGTGTTTAATAAACATGACCCATCATGTGTGACTGGGGGAGGGGCTGCTCTCCAGGTTTATTCTTTAGACTAAAGATTTATTCTTTGGAGAAATCTGTCAGCCTATCCTGCTCCTCCCCAAGTCTGCTGCAGCTTCTCAAGACAGAAGCTCACAATGTTGCAGTGTCTTTGCTTTTTGGTCTTTTGCATTTCCTGGTCCCTCTGCCTGAAATGTTATTTTGTCTCCATTTCCTCTTGTTAGGGGAGGGGAGCTCAGCTCCCTTAAAAGAGAAATTTTCAGCACTCAGAGATAAAGGTAAAACTTCCTTAATTAGTGTGTAGCTGTAGCCTATTGTTTAGAGAGGTTTATATAGGTTTAGGCGTTGTCATAGTCTTGTGGTCATCTCTGGGTGGTCTTTTTACTGAAGCTGAAGTTTTCAGGCTTCTGATTAAGACTAGCAGGTGTTGGTGATGGTCACTTCTCAAGAAAGGAGAACAGGTAAATGTAACCCCCCCCCCTTTAGAAACAGAGGAAGGGATAAGCAGGTTTGCAACAGTGTAAGTCAGTGTCTTAGTCAGGGTTACTATTGCTGTGATGAAATCCCATTGACCAAAAGCAACTAGGGGGAGGAAAGGGTTTTTTAAGCTTACACTTCCATGTCATAGTCCATCACTGAAGGAAGTCAGGTCAGGAACTTAAACAGGACAGGAATCTGGAGGCAGGGGCCGATTTAGAGGCCATGGATGGGTGCTACTTACTGGCTTGCTCTCCATGGCTTGCTCAGCCTGCTTTCTTATGGAACCCAGGACCACCAGCCTAGGGATGGCACCACCCACAGAGGGCTGGGCCCTCCCCCATCAATCACTAATTAAGAAAATGCCCTACAGTCTTGTCTGCTTAAGTAGAAACTTATTATAGTTTTAAATAAAATCTGTCTAAATTATGACTAAAAATATTAAAGAGAGATAGGTCAAAGTCTTTGTTTCAGTATTGATGCCAATCTGCCCATCATTTCCTGAGTTTTACTCCAAAGCTGACTCCTCAGGGAGACTACAACCGGGGCAATCGATCTTTTGATGCTCTCAGGAGTAGGCCATAGAGTGATTTAGCCTGAATTCTTCCTTGTTCACCACCTTTCCCATTTGTCACTTTACCCCACATTACATCTGTTCTTCTGGACTTTGCCCTCACCATGTACTTGTCTTTACTGTTCCAGGACCCCAATGCAGACACCGAGTGGAATGACATCTTACGCAAAAAGGGCATTCTGCCCCCGAAAGAAAGCCTGAAGGAACTGGAAAAGGAGGAAGCAGAGAAGGAGGAGCAGCAACTCCTCCAGCAGTCAGTGGGTGAGCTTGCTTGATATCTTCCTTTGTGCTGTGTCTGTCTGGCTTTGGAAACAAGCCACCAACTGCTACAGTAGAATGACCTTCTGGGCAAGAGCCAAGAGGCAGAGCTGGGGCACTGGTATCAACATAGTGAGTGGTGGCTAGATGGTGATCTGCAGAGCAGAGAGTGACCCACCCTGCAGCCCACAGTCCTTGCCTGTCACGTGAGCACATGACTTCCTGTGCTGAGCTACTTTGGACAATGCCAAAGACACACCATTGTCTTGGACTGCTGTCGTGGTGGAGGAGAGGATGGGCATATATTGAAGGAGGGCCAGCAGAATTTGCTAATGGATCCCACTGTTGTATGGCAGAGAAAAGGCAAGGAAGCCTGCCAGGCTTGGGCAGTCCGAGGGGTAGGGGTGCTATTGGCACAGGTAAAGAAGGCTTACAGAACCAGTTAGTAGTGACACATGGCTTTAATCCCAGTACTTGGGAAGTAGAGGCAGGCAGATGTCTGAGTTTGAGGGCATCCTGGTGTACAGAGTGGGTTTCAGGGCAAGCAGCGGTGAGCACCCTGACATGGGTACTGGAAGTTGAACTTGGGCCCTTTGGAAGAGTAGTAAGTACTCTCTTCATGGCTGAGCTTCCCATGGCTGAACCTGCAGATTCTCTTTCCTACAGCAACACTTGGGTATTGTGGAATAATGGATAGTGACACCTGTGGGAAACAGTTCACCTCCCCGCTGTTCTCAAGGACATAGACTTAAGGGGACCAACCCATTCCAGACAAAGGGCCATGGAGGAAACAATTAGAGAAAAAACATGGGAACTCACATAGCGCAAGACAGTTTGCCAATGTAATATACAATATAGGTGGCATGAGAAGTGTTAGGACATCCTGCCCATGAGGGTGTCCCCGGAGACCAGAGCAGGCAGCTTCAGGCAGACGAGACTCTTGTTTCACAAACCTGGGAAACTTGTCATCGAGTAATGTGACTGTGAGAAGGACAGTGGCAGCTGTCTTTTTAAACAGTACCTTGGTTTTTGCGTCAGTGGACTGGGCCTCCAGGAGTTGTGGGCACACGCACAGGAGAAAAGCAAAGGCACTAAGATGTTTGCTTGTTCATCTTTTAATTGTTATGCTTCTGTCAATGGAACTAAATTCAGTGAAAACATATGAAGATATGACTTTGGAGGAGCTGGAAGAGAATGAGGATGAGTTCAACGAGGAGGACGAACGAGCTATCGAGATGTACCGGTTAGTGCCAACCGCAGGGACTGCATGGCGGTTTGTGTGCTACTGAAATGTGTGTCCTTTGAACATCGGGACAGGACTTGAACAGTATTACACATTTCAACAAACTGGTCTTAGATTTCTACCATGAGGCAAATCAATCAGCCCAGTCACGGGGAATTATTTTTCCTCTGAAAGATGTGCGTGCATGCCTGTGTGCGCACAAGTGTTCGTCTGTGTAATTTAAGTGTGTTCTTTCTGTTGTGCAGGCAGCAAAGGCTGGCTGAGTGGAAAGCAACTCAGCTGAAGAACAAATTTGGAGACGTTTTAGAGATCTCAGGGAAGGATTATGTTCAAGAAGTTACCAAAGCCGGCGAGGGCTTGTGGGTGATCTTACACCTGTACAAACAAGGGTGAGCCATCCCTATGTGGTCTGTAAAGTGTTGGGTTGACATTCTCTTGAATCTGTATGGGCTTAACCTATATGGAAGTTCTTGGTTTTATGTTTTTTGTTTTTCTTTTTCTTTTTAACCTGCACATATGTTCTGTGTTTTTTTGTGGCTATTTGACCCGTTAAACCTTAGTGCTTAGTTTTCATTTTAAGACTTTTAAATTACTATTTGTGAATAATGGTGTCTATTAAAAGTGTAGAGCAAAGACTTAAAAAAGAATTGTGCCAAGTGCAGTAGTACACACTAGCACTCCCAGCATGAGAAGCTGAAGCTGGAGGACTGTGACAGAGTTCAAGACTAGCCTGTGCTACATAGCAGGTTCAAGGACAGTGTGGGTTACGTTGCAAGACATATATCTTAAAAAACAAAGAAGGCAAAAAAACCCAATCAAGTTACCCTTCCCTGTAGAGGAGTCTATGATGGTCTATGAAACTGATGACTTGCAGATGGCCAGGGCGGCCTTGAGATAACTGCTGAGAGATGCTGTGGCCGCCTGTGTTCCCTTGCCACACAGGCTTGTCCTTCACCTGTACACGGAGTGCTTGTTTAGAAATCACTTAAAGGCAGGGAGTGCTTTCTGGCCTATTTGACACACATCCTGTGTTCTCTTCAGGGTGTTCTAAATGACCCTTACAGGAAGGTATGGCAGTTTTCAAAACCATCAAAGCTGTTTTCTTAGAGTTACTG